GAAGGTTGGGAAAACGAACGAGTGAGCGTAGCGAACGAGTGAGTTTGCGATCCTTCACAACGAGTTTGCTATCCAACGAAAGCTCCGTATTACCATCACATGGATTGTATTCTTTAGCCCAATAAAGATCTGATAATTTGAATACTAATTGTGATAAAACTAATTAGTATTCATTAACTTTGATAGAAGTCTAATAAGTCTAAAAAAACCCTATTTTAACTAGTATACGTATTACACAGATCAATTTGACCGGATTCAAATCAGGGGATTGGGCAGAATGTTCCAACTCGCCGTTAAATAATTTCAGCCAGGGCGAACAAAAAAGTGAGACCAAAGCCCCATTTACACTGCACTCGATTTATTGGCACGGCACGGCTAAAATGGGTACCCGTGCCCAATTTTACTGGTGCTCAGGGTACCAAAACAAAGGCCGGGCACGGATGAAGTGGGTACGGGTACCCATTTTAGTCGTGCCGTGCCAATAAATCGAGTGTAGTGTAAATGGAGCTCAAAATAGCCGATGAATTTATTAGAAAAATAACATTGGGCTGGTCGGAAATGTAAAAAGTGATGATGAATTAATGCAATATTTCTATATGCAGTGCAAAGACAGTAATAATAAGTGCATGAAGAGAGTGTTACTTTTAAAAACGTAAAAACAAACTATTGTTGCCTATATATTAAAGTGATCTAAACCCAGAAATTGTTTGAAAAACATGCTATTAAACATGTTGGAGCATGTCCCGCCAAATCTGATATTTTAACTCCCGGGTCAAATCAGTCAGTTGCAGTTTCAGACATTCAGTCGCGGTTTATGCATGCTTTATTAATTTAACTTTGTTTAGACGTAGTCTGCTTTTCATTTACTTCCAGATGGATTCCGTCCAATAAACAGTGCCTTCTAAATATTACATGCGACGAAAACATACCTAATTTTAGTGTGCAGTGATAAAAAGAGAATGTGCAGTGATAAAATAAGAAATGTGCAGTGATAAATGGTATTTTCTCAACAGAACTCACTCTGTTGTGACGGATTCGTCAGTAATTGTCCCCCAAAATGCTGGAATTTAATCAAGTCATAGGGACTTGAAAATACAGAAAATTTTCTGTGGCAAGTACTGCAGACCCCTTACATCTCATTCATCTTTAAATTACCAATTTCCATTTAGTACCAATTGTATAATCTACTATTACCCGGTACTATACTATTGTAATCATATGTGCAGTGATAAAAAAGTCTTAAAATTAGCTATGGACGAAAATTCTTCTTAAAATACAAGTTCAACAGGGATCTTGGATTATCCAACGCTGCTTGCACTGGTTATCAATGCACGGTCTACATATGCAAGAAAGTAAAAAAATGAACGTATAAGAATTCATTAAAGTAGCTTCAAAACTTTGAATCGTACTAGATATTCATGCATGAGAATATCTGTCGAGACGAATTTTCTAGTAGTAGAAAATTGTCTTGATGTTTGTCAGTCAGTTGCATTTCCTGAGACGAAATATTTCATTTTTTTTTTCAATTGGTCAAATAAGGTAAATTGTATACCAAAGCATGGAAATACATTTTCGTTAGCGATGTCTCTTTTAGGACAAGTTTATACTTACTGCGGATATCTCTCATGTCCATAGCAAGATTATTTCGTCGTCTTTCTTCACGGCTTTTCTTTTCCTTTGAGAAAGCTTCATGGAACTATCACAAATATATACTGAGGTTACTTGAAAATTGTATTTAGCCGACGATACACACTTACTCTCGTCATTCACAACTCCACCGAGCGCAATCTAGCACAGTTTAATCACAAGTCGAAAAATTACATGAAACATAACTTAAAATTGGAACAACATTTAAGTTTTACTTTCAGTTACGTTTTTCGTACAATCATCATGCGCAGGGGCGTACGGAGCAGGGATGTGGGGGTGACACCCCTGTTTTTTTGCGAAATGGTCGGTTAATTGAAACGGAATTGATGGTGGCTGGTTTTTAAACAATGGCAATCGCTAATTTTTGAATTTATGGTATCAAGTACGTCGCGACAAAAGTGCGAACAAACAGCATAGCGTTGAGCAAAATGTGAAAGGTGGAAATATGGGCCCTTGCATGGAGGAAATGAGAGTGAAAGAACCAGTTGTTCGCTAGGCCTATAATTGCAAACCGGTAAATGTACGACCATATATATGCGATGATTTTGTATTCATTCTATGCATGTGTTTAATAGCAACCATTAAGTCATGAAATGGAACTTATATAGCACACCACCGGAGAAATTGGTGTTTATGAAGTTTTTAGGTATGAAAATCCGAATACTGGTTCACATTGTGCATTGCTGCATGTGTCACTATCAAAGAGAAAACTATAAATAACTTTAAAAAGTTCGGTTTTTCTTGCGAATACGCATTCTACAATCTTTTGACAGCTCCGTACACATTTAACAGCTGTGAAGTGGCCATTTTGAGGCTTAAAGTATACACAAGGTTATTAATTCAGATGATTCGTTTTTGACGTTTTTTTTTGACATTTTTCAATTTTACCAATTTCTGCGGTGTCATATGTAGCATGCACACCATGCTGGGCAGCCCTCGTCACTTATTTCTAAAACAATGATTTTTCGATGTCGACTTATATTCATTCGTACTAATTTCTTATTCAAACAATTTACTTGGAAAAAGAAATAGCATAAACATACCGTTTCATTTAAAAGCACATAAAAAACAAATATCATCAGGCCTTGTATCGAGTTGAATATTGCGAATAAATACTTAAACGCAATTGTATCTCGGTTGAATACCAGCAAAGCAAACACCCACGTCAATCCAAGAGCTGATAGAAGAGTACATGCACGTATCAGACCCTTTTTTGCCCTTTGGAACTTGTTGTCAGGGTCTGAAGAGCTTGTCTTTACTTTGATGGTCGATAACACTTTTCGTAAGGCGAGAACAAAAACAAAAACGTTGATCTAAAGCGAGAATTTTAGCGATAAATTAAAAATAGAAGTATTTAAAAGCAAAAGCAATATTGAGTTCCTTGTGTGTCATACCCCGTTTATAGCTGAGACGTTCAGTGCTTAAGAAAGACGCAGAGAAAGCGACAGGGCCTTTTTAGACTTCACTATAAAATTGGGGATATGGGAAGTTGAGGTGCCGTTTACGCTCCCAAGCCCCTCGCAACTAATGGCATATCCAGCCTAGTCCCAGACCTCTCATTGCGCGTGTTTTATATTTCGGTGACGTCACCGAATGAAACGCGCGCGAGAGGCCTAGCACAAAATGTTTTCTAATCTTAACGGCCCGTTTAATGTTGCCAAGTTGAACTTAGAATTGTTATTACAAAGTAAATGTTTGCAATTTACAACAATGACCGTTATAAAGGAAGCGAGAATAATTTAAATTGGCGGATTGAAGCTTATTATAATCATAAACATGTACGTACGGACTCGAGTTTACTTGATAGTCGATAGCGTTCACAGCGAATGCAATTTAAACGTTTGTATGAATATTTCGAAGTCCTGGCAGTATAATTAATATGCCGTAGATTATTTCAAGCAAATATTTGACTAGCGACGTCGAACAAGGCCAGTTAACCGCGTCGTAGATCGTAAACTGACCTCAATACAGAAAGTGGGGACAAAAAGTCCCCACTTTAGCCAAAATACAAAACATTTTGGTCTAGGCCTCTCAGTGCCCGCCTCGCTGCGAATAAGGAACGTTAAGAGGCCTAGGGACTAGGCTGTGGCATATCGCCCTCCCAGTGAATAAGATTTTCCCATTACAAAGTATTAAAAATTTATGAAAGGTCTCAAAAATGTAATATTGTATAAAGGAATAAAATAAAAGGCCCCTTTTGTTATTTCGCCCCCCCCCCCACCTAGAAATCATTAAAAAGGAAATGCTCGAAGCGATTGCCAATATATTTTTGAAAAAGCCCTATGTAGCTTTGCACAGAAAACTTTTAGGCAACGAGTTTAGGAAAGGTTTAAAAATTTTTTTCTGTGTTTTTTGGAGCTGAGATAATCAAAGATCTTAGCACCTGTGCTGTCAATCCTGTTCTAGCATTTAAATGGTTGGTCCCAAAACGGTAAATATTATTACCTGAATGGCATGCAGTCCATTACGATCCATCATTCAAACTTTTTTCAAAAGTGTGTACACGTGTTAGCATTAAATTCGTTACGATTGGGAATAAAGTCTAAATTATACCCAACTGCACGCGTTTTGTATTCAAGGACTTTTGTGAGAATACGAGAAAAGCACAAATCACGGTGATATGAGAATAGCATATGCATATTATTACATATTTTTAAATGTTTTAGATATATAGTGCATGCATCTTGCACCGTGAGCTTACCAGAAGTATTATTCCTATAGTTGCAATAAAAGTCCAGAATAACACTCCACCAGCACGGCACCAACACCCTTGTTTTGATTTAAAGTCAATGCGATCATTCAACCCAACCAACAGCGCCACAACGAAAACTGGAAAACCTATGGACGATATTAACCAACAATCACATTTGTTAAGCATATCTAAGTTTCAGCTATGCGTGCTGTGTTTACAGTTTCAGCCACAGGTATTCAAATGATAAAAAATGAAAACGAAAACTGAAAAATGAAAACGTTTTAATAGTTAAGTGCATGTGTGCGTGTTTTGTTTCACAGAATTTCCTAGCAAATATTTAATCTCATTTATTGATAAGAATGGGCAGTAGTTGTATTAATATCAATATGCTATGCTACTTACCCCAACCTATTGCATAAAATGCCTTCATATATCTTCCACTCAAATTCATACTAGCGTAAACATGCATTAGTTTAAGGTAGATAACAATTCCCTGGCATAGCATCCATCCAAATAGGGCTAGTACTGAGAGATACAGTAAAATGGAAACTGTTATACAAAATAACTAAAGGAAATAAAGAAAATAAGGTTGAGAATGTCACTGAGTTAAATTATAGTGCATGGGTATGATGAAATTAAAATGCGATGGAAAGTGTTTATTCTAAACCTCATTTTTGCGTGCAGGTCCAGCAAGAACAGCAAAGATATCCGTCATTCCAATAGCGGCGCATAGATTCATCAACACTTTAGAGGGAACTTTGCAGTCGGTTATTTTATGAAGTCTCTTCCACAGCACTGCGTGTGCCAATATAGTCAAAATTACACCAACAAGTGATAAGGAACAACCAATCGTGGATATAATTTCCAAGCTTTTCTGTTCAGTTTTACTTAACTATGGAAGAAAAAAATGTACCAGAAATTTCAAGGTAAAGAAAATGTTGAATATGGCAGTAAATTTATCGCCTAAAGTCGTTACCAAATCTCTTTCCCAAGTGTCCATGGTGGCGAAGGCCGTGAGATGGTCACATTCGCATATCAAGTCGTTATCTAATGAATCAACTCTTTTACATCCATCCGATTTCCACAAGTTATCGTGTAATTCTGGTTTCCAATATACGCAAGTCTTTGGGTCGTTCTAAGATAAAATATTCCATTGCTGAGATTCATGGATCATACTATCCTACCTTTACAATAATCACAACAATTCGTTTTGTCCGAGATAAATAATTGTTGGATTTATTGAATTTTGTAATCTGTAAGCATTTCTTGAAAGAACTGGTAATATCATGCTATTTTAGTCCGCTGTATAATCTACTTATCATCAGTGGCGCCGGCAAGTGGCAGGGGGGTGGGAATTATTCCTCACCCTCCCGCGGAATGATATTTAGAATAGTCTTCTAGATTTGGTTAGATTGAATGAGAAGGGGTTACAAATTTTGCCGTTTTACTAACGTTTGAGAGGTAACATTATATTCTCTTGATTTTTCCCTATTAGGGAAAATCCCCGACCGTTGCCAATCAGACATTATTTCATGGTCGGACAACATCATAAATTCTTTAGTTTCTAATAACTGCCTTACTTCTATTTTACTAATAGGCGTAACCATTCTAAAGGGGCCGGTAGTGTCAAGCCCGTTTAGCTTAAACGGTAGTTAAGTTCAAAATTGAAAGCGAGACTCGTTTTTTTTAACAAGGAAGCAAAATGTTTTTAACGCAAATACATATAGATCCTGTTTACAACTACATTAATCAGTGCACAATATTTAGGTTGACTCATTCAAAAATAGTGTTATTTATTTTTGACTTATTCGCCGTTTAGGCTAAACGGGCTTGACACAACCGGCCACAGAATATGATTAATTAACCACCCTGGTGGCATACTACCTTCATTACCAACACGTTTTCTTTCCAATGGATGCGAACCGGCTGTTTGAATGGAATCCTAGTTGCTTCAGGTTGAACACTTGCACTGATTATCCTACTCTTAATTGCATAATTATTACCGTCGTAAATATTCTTCGTCAAAAATGAATTTAGTGTCTTATACCATACGACAACAACCACAGCACCTGAATTCTTAGGAAGTGCATCTCGTGAGATACTGAAAGATGCATTTGGGAAATTGAAAAGTCGGTCCTGAGGTAAAAATTCTGAGGATTTCATGTATTTAACACGTAGTTGTACGTTGGAAAAAATTTGAAATATATGGGAGGTATTTTTGTTTTTTATGATATTCCCGCTTTGAACGCCATATTTTTGCAAAGTTACCACCAGTTTGCGGGCCTCTTTACCGTCCTATAAAAGAAAATAAAGGTTTAAAATGCATGATATTTTAAAAATGCGGGATAGAATGTAGGATGATTATAGATCGAAGTCTATAACCTCGTTACAATGCAGTCAATTTATCGGCACGACACAGCTAAAATGGGTAGCCATGCATGATTCATCCGTGGGCGGCCTTTGTTTTGGCAGCCTGAACACTAACAAAATTGGGCACGGGTACCGATTTCAACCATGCTGTGCCAAAAAATGAATGTCATGTAAACGGGGCGTATGACTCTGGTATATTTTCACATGATGAAAATTTCCGAATAAAATAAAAGAAAGATACTATTTAAAGACGAACAGTTGAAAAATGATGTAACAGGATTCAAGGTGGGTATGGATTATGGACACAATTGAAATATTCAATAGATGAAAAAGAATTCGATTTAAAGGTAAAAATAAACAATTCAATTTAAAGGTAAAATTAATTCTATATTAATTTCATACCGTCATATTTCGCCACGATTTTTCGTGTCTAACATCCAGTATATTATTTGCAGGAACCATAATGTTCATTATGTCATCAGCAATATTAAAGTCGACGATTTTTTGAAGGATTTCAACTGTTTGACTAAGAATTTTTTGGTCCAACACTTCTTCTTGGTCTTCATAAGCTGTTATTTTTGATAATTCGTCAATAATAATTGGCGCGCAGCTTCTTCGGGTTGTTGTATTCTTTTCAAATAGTCGATCTACCTGGAAATAAAAGAAAGACCATTGCGCACACGTGAGCAAAATGTCTGCTTTAAATATTGAAATTTTAGTTTAGGAAATACTCTCTAATGCTGCGAAAGAAATAACGCCTAGTCAAGTTTAGTTTTCTTTTTGTTCCGGATATTATCCAAAATAAGGAAATTTTAAATCTGCCGATTGAAGTTTTGTTTTACACATCATACATCTTATAAATGTGGACCATCTGAATAACAGACAGATAACATTGAACCGTTGTCTGTTCAGTTATACAGGGTGTATAAAAAAAACTGCAACCAGTTAATATTCATGATATCCTCTTTGTTCTACAACACAAAAGACGTTTGGCCCCTGGAATGCGAGAAAGCTTGTAATCATATTCTAGCGGCACAATCGTCGGTAAACAAAGTCGGGTGCGTAAACCAACGAGCTGAATTGAAAGTATTTAACGAGTGAAATTTTATATACAATTTATTTTACAAGGTCGACAGTTAGCATTCAAGTTATCATGCACGACAATAAAAACTCGTTGTTCGGTTGTTAGCTGCACCATTATTAGTTTAGCTGATTTGACTATTAGCAGTTGAATTGTACGATTAGAAGCAATTTTAAAATTCCAGGGGCATAAAATCTATTGAGCTTATGAACAATATGAATTTTATGCGTTCTTGCGTTTTTTTTGAGACACCCTGTAGATATACGGTATGACGTCATTTTTGATAAGATGAACGAATTAATATAATATTAATAATAAGAAAAAATATAATCAATGCCATTTGAATATCTTTATTAAAAAGCTCATTCACACATATTATCTTCTGATGGAGGAATTCCATTATTAATTAAGGTTCAAGCACTTAAAATCAAGCTCTTTTTCGAGTGGAACTGTCGGGTCATAGAATAGTTCGATTTGATTGAGATCACACAATGTGTTCGAGTGTGAGTGAGCTCTTTCATCAAGGGGATCGTACGGTATAGACTGAAGATTAACTTGCCTCATCGTGAAGTTGTCTCAGTCTTTCTTTCTTGCTTGTATTAAGTGATTCTATCAATTCAGATAAACAGATTTAAAGGTAACAAAATATTATTTCCTCAATCTATTGCTGTCTTCCTCTAACAGTTAAAATTATATAATACTGGTTTCTGCTGAATGATCAAAGTCGTATAACGTTTGAAAATTGCAATTCAATTTTTAAGAGATGAAAATTATTGAAGAGTTATAAAAATTAAAACGCAAGAAACATCCATGAAGTGTAATAAACACAAGTTTTGTGGTTGTGAAATTTACATCTTTGAATTAATTAGAATTGCATTGCAAGTTCCAAGTTCCTAAAAAACTCCACAGTGTTACAGTGCCTTAGGAGCAACAAAGTGAGGCGAATTAAATGCATCGGTCATACGCGCCAGATTTCTTATGTACAACATCACATGTTATCCCTTTTGTGTAACTTGTTACCTTGTGCATTTTAACGTCTTGCAGTGACCCCCATTAAGATGTTATATAGAAAACAATATTTTGAACATACCTCTACTTAAGTTACAGTCACATGTCCATTCTTCATTAATACACTTGTCGATGCCTGAAATCATATCGTTTCGGTTAGCGCAAAGTAAGGGGGATAAAATTCTTTCAAACTTTTCTGTCGGGCTTGTGAATAAAAGTATACCTTTACAGTCTGTTCCATTCCCAATGAAACCTTCATTACAAGAACATATGTATGATCCAACGGTATTTTTGCATGTTGCGTTTGGATGGCATTTGTAATTTCCCGATGTGCATTCATCCATGTCTAATTTTGAAAGTTTTAGATCAGCGAAAAGATAATTAGAGGAAGTTTGAATTCTCGATAACATTAAGAATTCCCAACCTCATGTTATATATGTGAGTTTCTTTCTGTGAACACGTGTAACAAAGAACAAGATGATTAAAGGAAATAAACAGTAGCGTAGCCAGCCTGTCGATTTGTCCCGCTATGCTAATATTTTGGTGTTCACCGACTGTGAAAACAATAGATTTCTAAAGGCACGAATAATTATAATAACTCGAAATTTACATAGCGGGACAAAATCTTCAGGCTGGCTACGCCACTGGAAATAAATATAATAATTTATAATTATGCAAGGCATGAGATGATTTTCTTTTTGTGTACGTACGTATTAAAACCGGAGTGTAGTGGCGGTGTACGCCTTCCGATTTCAGGGGAATTTCGAAAAATTTGGAAATGGTTGAAAATTAGCAATCCTGCCATGGACATTTTTGACAATCCCATGCAATTGTATACTCTACATGTGTATGCCTGCATGCAAATAATTCCATTAAAGACAAATCCGTCATTGCATGCAAGGAAAGTACAACAGTGTTATCCGAGGGCGATACTTCTGAGTAGGGCCGCCCAGAGGGGGGGAGGAGGGGTCAATTTGCTCCGGGCCCTAGGGTTGCAAGGGATCCCAAAACGCTACAAGAATAAGATTTCCAAACCCCCTAACAGCGCTCCATTCCCCAAAATGTACCTTTCTTACACCTCTCAAGCTTCAGGTCATGCATGCATTATCGCATTACAATGGTACAAATTTACATAAATTTACTATAGCGTTATAGAAAGTTATATACAATTATCTGACATCGAGTTGAAGTATAGGCTAAGCTATCATTATAAAAAAAATTTTACGTTGCGAAATAACCTTACCTTTGCAAGTTTTCATTCCATCCCCTTCAAATCCTTTTTTACAAGCACAATAGTATGAGCCAACAATGTTTAAACATTTCGCTTGAGAATGGCACCGTTGAGCAGCCGAGGACTCACATTCATCTAAATCTGAAATTTTCGTGTTAAACAGAAAGTTATATCTCTGTATGTGAACCACTGGTGGTGCAAGCCATAAAGTTTTTAATGCTAATGTAAGTTATGAAATGCAGTTTACCCTTTGAGTTATATAAGAAAATAAAACACCTTACCGTTACATGTCTTAATTCCATCTCCTGTAAATCCATTATTACAAACACATGAGTATGACCCAACACTGTTGATACATTTTGCTTGAGAATGGCATTTAGTTGCCGACGCACATTCGTTGAAATCTATGTGATTCGGATATGAAATATTTTAAGGATTGGCTTTGCAATTGACAGGAGTGGTACACACGCGAGATACACACGCGAGAGCAGGCTTTTTGTTATCCTACAGTTCCAGCTGATCCGGGTATGAAAATTAACCAATCAGAAGACAGATCTTCGACAAAACTGAATTATCATTTTCTTCATTGCATATGACTTCGAAACTCGAAAATATCAAGTAATTTTATTATATTTATGTGAAAACACGTTTATTTTTTCCTAACTGCAAATTACAATTTAAATTTTTCACCCTTTATACTATTAGTTGGAAGAATAAGGACAAATGACACCCGGCACATGATAACTCAGTTTTGTTGAGACCATTTATGACGTCATGACCTCAGATCAGCTAGTTATTATTAAATTTTCACTAATACAAGTTGATAAACTACAAACAATTGCAGAATATTAAGGAGCTCCTCCAACTCACATGCATTGAAAATGCAAAACAGCAGAGAAAGCACGACTTTCCAAAAAATAATTATATATTCTAAATCTATTTAAGCTGGCGACACAAAAAAGCTATCTGCTGAGCTAAATGTCACTCGTGAACATTAGCGTAAGCAAGTTTCTACAGTGTGCGATGACGTTTTGCGAACTTTTGCTCACCAGCGTGCCATCTGCACGGAATAATTTTATTCAACATGTTGAATAATTCGGCGCACGAGCTAGTGCATACTTGAAGAAAGCAAATTCCTGCATGAAAAATATGCAAATTTGTAAAACATATCCAAATTTTCAGTTTTGCATGCATATTAGCTTGTTATGGCAGAAATTTGCTCTCTTCGCTTGCACACGTGTACAACTATGCTCTTGTGCACCAGATTTTTCCACATGTTGAATTTTCGGTGCAAATGGCACGCGTGAACGAAAGCTGACAAAACGTCGCCGCACATTAGAGGAACTTGCTTACGGATTTCTAAAGGTTTGGAAGCGGTAGAAAATTAGCAATCCAGCCATGGGCATGTTTGATGATGCATGCAAGTGGCACTTCGGCATTAACATACTCTACCTATGCATGCTTGCAAATAGCTTCATTAAAGACAAATCCGTCATTGCATGCAATACAAGTACAAGAGAGTTATCGGAGGACTATACATCTGAGAACCCATCTCTCACATCAACGTTAGAGAATGTTAAAAAAAATTATCTGACCATCATTTTAGGTAGGCTAATCTATTCTTATAATTTTTTTTCTGCGTTGCGAAAATAATCTTACCTTTGCAAGTTTTAATTCCGTCCCCTTCAAATCCTGTTTTACAAGCACAATAGTATGAGCCAACAGTGTTGAAACATTTTGCTTGAGGATGACACCGTTGAGCAGCCGAGGACTTACATTCATCTAAATCTGACATTTTCGTGTGAAACAGAAAGTTATGTCTCTGCATGTGAACCACTGGTGATGCAAACCATGAAGTTTTTAATGCCAATGTAAGTTATGAAATGAAGTTTACCCTTTCAGTTAAGAAAATAAAATACCTTACCGTTGCATCTCCTAATTCCATCCCCTGTAAATCCATCATTACAAACACATGAGTATGAGCGAACCATTTTGATACATTTGGCTTGATGATGGCATTTATTTGCCGACGCACATTCGTTGAAACCCCGGTGCACACCTAGGATTTTTCATACCTTAGTCAAATTTTATGACGTCATTTATGACGTCACTATGGCGTCACGCATGTCTCATTTACTGGCATATTAGGATGTTCGATTTTTTAAATGATAGTCTTCAGACTACCAGCTGAACTGCTTCGCCCCATATTAGGCTCATCAGCATGCCTAGGATACACTTTTTAAAACATACGCTAATAATTGTTTTTGCGATGACATTGATGGGAGAATCTACTTATTCCCATAGTATTCCTTAGTCCCTACTTTGAGTAGTCCCAACTTTGAGTATTATTGTGACCAACTAGTGCTAGGGCCGAAGCTGAAGCAGGAGAAGTAGGAAAATATTCAAAACAGGATATTAAAATATAATCACGCTAGATTAAGTATCCGACAATTATATCGCGGAATGACGGCAGAGTTACAATGTCAACATCATGATTTATATTCACTCATAATTTTCATATGAACGTATTTATACATGTGATATACATCAGGAATACGGAATAATAATAAGTAACTAAAAGTGAACATGCTAAGTTTGTGTTTTTCATATCATATTTAAGTTATATATTCATATATAGCAACCTTCGACCCGGCCAGGGCAGACATATGACTTGTAAATTTATATTTGATTACTTAAAGAACTAGCTATGCTTGTTGTTGTTCGACAATCATTTTGCCGACTTGAGATCTAAAAACACAGTTATATAGAAGCGTAGCTTGGAATAAACAAAATATAGTTAACTTATTGCAGTACAAGCCTTTTTCTTGCTATTACGAGCGTGCTTCTGCACATATAACTCCACACAAACATTTGAGCTTAGCCTTGAGCGTGTCACCCTCATAAATACAAAGATCGAACGTCGCATAAATATCGCGTCATTTAAACACCCTAAATCGTTCGAATAGCTCGTACAAATCACTACAAGGCGATGAAGACATTGTAAAATAACACAATAAGAAACATCCTTCGATGCTCAGAGCGATTGAAAAGGCATGTTTCCACTCTTTGCCTAGTCTTTGCCTAACATGACTAACACAGGCATGCTTACCAAGCACAGTGATTGGTTCAACTCGCCAAAGATACGTAAAATATGCAAGCCAATGAAAGAATAAAATTTAAAAAAATTACCCAATCATAAAGCTTTCAGGTTACGTGAAGTTAGGCAAATTCGTCTTGGTTAGGCAAAAGAGCTATTAGCCAATCAAAAGGCTGTATCGGCCGCCAGGCATAGGCAAAATAGCTGCCTCTCATTGGCTTGCTTCATGGCTTGCCTAAATACCAATGAGCTATATATCTATAAATAACTGGACTGTGATATGAAAATATGAATAATTAACTGTCATGTTTCCGCTTATGAATGAATACTTTGGGAATTGGGAACTGGGAATTTGGTAATTATTATCTGGATAATTTACCATAGTCACTTGACTATGTTGCCTACCCCTAGATCCGCGCCTGTTGAAATCTATGTAATTCAGATAATTTATGAATTATATGTTAATGATTGGCTTTGCAATTGACAGGAGTGGTACACACGCGAGATATACGCACGCCAGAGCAGGCTTTTTGTTTTCCTACAGTTATTATTAAATCTTGCCGAATACAAGTTGTTAACTTACAAACTATCACTGAATATTATGGAGCTCTTCCTACTCACATGCTTTGAAATTGCAAAGCAGCAGAGAAAGCACGACTTTCCAAAAAATAATTATATATTCTAAATCTATTTAAGCCGGCCGCACAAAAGAGCTATCTGCTGAGCTAAAAGTCACTCCTGAACATTAGCGTTAGCAAGTTCCTCCCATAGAGATTATAAATAACACTAGAGGAGGCATTGGTATCAGAAACATCAGTCAAAAAAGGGAGCGCGATAATGGGGGGGAAATTGAAGTCCCGGATGCTAAGCCAAGCGCTGATTGGCTAGATCAGTGCCTCCTTAGCAACCACGTTAGCAACAATTTTCAGTAAAAAAAATTATATTCGTTATTTAGGTCGCTTTGTCGGTTTTTTAAGGAAAAACAGTGCTTTTTAAAATTGGTTTTACCAATTCAGACATCCTGAAATGATATTTTAGGCAAAAAAACATTTAGAAATAAAAAAAAACTCGTTAAAAACGACTTATTTTGGCCTCGGAGATCGTGAATGAGTGAACATCCGTGACTTGGATTTGCCCCCCATTAATGCGCTCCCCAATTTCTCCTCGATGACCCCTCTAGTGTTATTTATAATCTCTATGGTTCCTCCAGTGTGCGACGACGTTTCGCGAACTTTTGCTCACCAGCGTGCCATCTGCACGGAATAATTTTATTCAACATGTTGAATGATTCGGTGCACGAGTGCATACTTGAAGAAAGCAAATTCCTGCATGAGAAATTTGCAAACTTGTATAACATATCCAAAATTTGCAGTTATGCATGCATATTAGCTTGTTATGGCAGAAATTTGCTTTCTTCGCCCGCACACGTGTTCAACTATGCTTTTGGGCATCAGATTTTTCCACATGTTGAATTTTCGGTGCAAATGGCACGCTTGGCCAAAAGCTGACAAAACGTCGCCGCACATTAGAGGAACTTACTTACGGATTTCGAGAGGTTTGGAAGCGGTAGAAAATTAGCAATCCAGCCATGGGCATGTTTGATAATCCATGCATGCAATTACCACTTCGGCATTAACATGCTCTACCTATGGACGTTTGCGAGTAGTTTCATTAAAGAGAAATCCCAATTTTTATGCATGCATATTTAACAATTAGTCGCCGAAGGCGAGGTGATTACAAGCCTACATTCACTTCGCCGGAAATTTCAGTATTGAAAAAGTTTTATTTATAAATGCAACTGATACACGTGTTTATTTTATAAATAGGCATAAATAATTTGCATAAATAATTTACTTTCGTTTTTGAGTCACGCGATCTAATACTTTTTCGCTCCTAACAGTTTTGAATTTTAAAATAAATTGTTAAATATACGTAAAAGAGTCTTTTCTTACCTTCATTATATGATTCCACACGAATGGCAGGGGCTTTTGTGTTCTCAATTTCGTCTTCTGAAATTTTTCCAAAACGATTTTGAGTATTTTCAGCCATGTTCTTTTAGGAAAAAGCAATAGTTACTGCTCAGACTGCTTTGAGCAGTAACTATTGCCTCAGAGTTACTGCTGAGGAAGCCAATCAGAATGCTCAAAGGCCATATTTCAATACCGAAAATATACTAATAGCTTGTTATGGTAGAAATTTGCTCTCTTTGCCCGCACATATGTACAACTATGCTCCTGGGCACCAAATTTTTCCACATGTTGAATATTCGGTGCAAATGGCACGCGTGAACAAAAGCTGGCTAATTCTGGCAAGCTGACCGCCTTGGTTTTGACCCCCCTGTTTTCGACATTCATTAATTGCACTTTGGAAGTTCCTCCAAGTACTAATCAAGATGTATAACAGAAAGAATTGAATCTTTTCCAGTTTTGCCGACAATCTGTGAAGAAAGAAATATTTTTGCACCGAAATCTCTGAGCATGCTCATGAGCTAAAAAAGCATATTTTTATGAACTAAGGCCTGTTTCAGACGTCGTAAAGTTCAACGTCTGAAACAGGCGTAAAGCAGAGTTCACTCAACCAGCTAGTCGTCGGCTTTATCGTTCCTTTCGACTTTATTAGCTGAATTCATATAAGGGGCGGGAAACTCATCTTAGACGGGAAAGTTTGTGGTAAAACCTCGCCTTAAAATGAATAGGGATGGAAATTTATAAGTACGTAATTACGATAAACATTTTGTTTATTTGATATTTAGCCTTGTTCCGCCCATGACTGTGTTGATATTTGAGAAACTCGTCTGATTTATCTGATTTATTCCGCGAATTTAAGACGAGCTTCTCGATGGGATTCCCAAGCAACTTACTCGTCTGGTTAGACTGGAAGGTTTCACGGGAGAATTCGGACTAGAAACGCGACTGTGACACAGTTGAAAGCTAGGCAAATATTTGAGAATGCATGGTCATGCATTAGTGCTATCTAGACAACAAAGAAAACCAAAGACCAACGCAAAGAAAACAAAGAACTAGTGTGATGTTGCTTGGCCTCAAATATGGAGCTTTATTAAATTCATTAGAGTATTTTTCTGAGAACTAAAACACTCCTAGAACTCATACGCCACTGCATCCTGGGTACAATGCAGATATTTTGCCACGTTCAAAAATTTCGATAATTTCCCCCTATTTTCATTGTTCTTGTTTTGAAAATACAAATGGTGTTTAGTTCGTATATAAAACGAAATTAACGTTGGAAATACAAATTAAAAGACTTAAAAGTAATCTTTAGATAAGTAAAATATATTCTACTGTAAAGTTTAAGCTATAATTTAAAAAATATACTCGCAACCATGTAATATCTTATATATCTTATATTATATTATCTACCAACCTTGATCTGTGACCAGATTCATATCAGAGGAGATTTTAGTGAAAAACGTCCTGTGAATGGTATACAGGGTGTATACAGAAAGAGGACCTTTAGAAATTAATCTATTGTTATAATTTAAGCGTGTTATAATTTTAACTATGCCAAACCCATGGGCTATGGATGTGTAAAGTATTGTCAGCTTTGTGCATAGATTACATATATCTTTGTTAGCATTTAAATATTGTTATCCATATATTTTTGTAATTTGTAAATATGGTTAATGTCATTAATTTTCTAGGTACAAGCGAATTTTTATTTCATTTGTCGCTACTCGAAGTGTCATGATAAATAAATTCGCTTGAAGACATGTTTTAATTATTTTCATTCGCTACTAACTACGAACATGCAGCGGTGTTGGGCAATACTTTGTCTTTAAGAGCAAGAACATTTTGTATATAGATATATATTTAAAATTTAAATAAATCTTTTAAATGCAACCATAAAAAATACCTTAATACTTACGTCGGGCTCGGCAAATCCACAATTGAGAAGAAAGAAAAAGTATGATGGAAAGAATTATTATGAAACGCATTTTTCATGTCATGTGATGCTTCTTTGATGTCTCTGTGCTGTCTACTCCAACGATCTCAACCTGAACGCAAGATACTGAACTTCGGTATACTTGTTATGATTGTATTATGAATGTAACAGCGTCGAGAACACGACCTTTAGGACACTACCTGTTCCAAATTACCGAAATATGGGGATGAAAGATTATTGTACTCCTGCACTGCATGTAGAGTATAGTGCAATGATTGCTCACGCGCATAAATATGCAAGAACTAGTTTGGTCTGGTCACACCTCTGAAACTAAAATTAGTTTTGCGGCACTCTCCTCCGCAGAGGCTTTTTGGGTAATCTAACAATAATTGAGAATTATATAATACAATTGAGAATTATATGATATAATTCGTAGTAGCGGGCGGACGGGAGGGAGCTAATAATAGTAGCGGTGAGTGGCGGGCGGACGGGAGGGAGTCGGGCGGTTGCGGGTTGGGGAAAAAAAGAAGGGAAGCCTCTGCCATATAACGTGCGGTTCTTTGGTGTGAAATGCGGTTCTTTGGTTTTGGCGGTTTACTGGTACAATCGATATTATAATGGCTGAGTTCGATAGCGATATAGAAGAAATTGAGCGCTCTTTTCATAATATGAGTCTAGATGGTAAGTATAATATATTAGTTTAATTTTAACAAATGCATAAAATGTTATAATTTACTCAAGTTTATATTAATATTGATGCAAGATTAATTAATATCATTCGATTGCCTTGATATTTTGGCAAGTTTCAGAAGTGAAAGTATTTACATATGTAGTTATGTTAATTTTGCATTGGCTTGCATATATTAAAATCGTCGTCAGCTACAGGCTACTGTATTTATATATTTTTATCGTATATTTTGTTTTGTTTTTCTGTTTACACCACTGAATGCAAGTGGTTTACACTATACTGGCAGTTCATTGTATAAATCTGTAAACTACAAATTATTATCCATAATTGATTATCCTGAAATTTGTCATAAATCAGATAATGATGAAGATCTTGGTTGTTTGCCAATGCCACTTGAGAGAGATGATGGTAAAGACCTTGCTTGTTTTCCTATGTCTGCTGAGAAGGCTGGTGATGAAGACCTTGGCTGTTTGCCCATGCCAATACAGAGTGCTGTATTGACAAGTACTCTAAAGAAGGTGAAACAACGGCAACTAGTACCTGTAGCTGGGAAGCATGATTTGACACCAGATTCAAAAAGACAAAATGAGCCACCTTCAAAGATCATGAATATGCAATCTGGAAGTCCTTTGTTAACATCTGGTAATTATTTCATAAATTATTCTATTGTTATGTACTGTATATTGCAAACCCTGCCTTAAACTGCTTGCTTTATTTTTAGGTAATTTGACAGTCCCCCTCCCCTAAACTGCTGGGTTGAAATGCCCCCTCCCCTCTTTGTTAATTATTAATGAACCTTTAAATGTTAAATTGAAAATTTATTTCAAATATTTAATTATCATATTTTAAATTTATATTATATTATTAAAATCTACAAACCAGTTGCTATATACAGTATACAGCTAAACACCTAAACCTTATTGTGTTTGAGTTACTTAATGTGTGTTGGTGGATGCACATTCTATTAGCACAAATTGAAGCTTTCCATTATAGCTATCATAATGTTTGTCATTACAATAAGATAGTAGCACTGTGGTTTAAAATGTAAAAGTACAGTAATATTAATTGAATGTAACATTAACTTTATGTCTGTATACTTAACTTTGTTTTTTTATGGTGTTTTAATAGAGTCATGCGAACTGCCAAAGCCAAGTGGAGTATTTTACAAAAGAAGAAGGGAGAGCTATGTCAAAATGTTGTTAGAGCATTTTGAAGAGAGAGAAGGTGCTCAGGTAAAGCAAGAAGCTGTTATGAAGGTGCTACAGTTGAACAACTACCAAAAAATACAGGCCACAAATGCTGTCAAATTGGCATTTGCAACTTGCAACTTGGTCACTCATTAACATAATAAGAGGTGATACTACAAATGCCAAGCCAGGTGTCATTAGACAAGGAAGAGTATATATAACTGTTTTACCACCACCTGTTGGAATAATTACAACTGTATCTTCTCCAGACAATATAAACTCAATAGCTTCACCTTGGCCTGGTCTGAATTCTTGATGTCCAAAAACTGTTTGGAGAAACTGCAAAGGTGTCTTACATTCTCGAGAAATTTGCATTTGCAAGCACTTGTCTGGCACAGGTGTTTGATGTCTTGGCAATAACATAGACTGCAATAGATACAAACAAGAAATACTACTTTATACAATTATTTTAAATTATTTGAAATTTTAAATGCCTGCACAATTTAAAGCAACGCCAACGAGTATTCAATTAAAAAGACTAAACTTAAATATCCACATGCTACAGGAACCCTGGCAAGTATTAATGTATGTTGCAAATTTTAAAAACGGTAACTTACCCTCTTAGGGGAAACAAAACATTCAGCATAAATTTTTGCACATGCATCCCAAAGTTTAAAACATTGGCCAAGGTGATCAGTTACACTAGAAGATATTTTAACTCGAACATGACAAGGATTCCCGCTAAGATGTTTTAGAATGCCACTGTGTTTCAAATATAAGCCATATAATTTTGCTGCCTCCCGTCTCGTGCTTGCCATAACTTTAAGAGTAGTCATCTTGTTAGCCAAATTTTCAGTAATGTGTTCCACCGAAAACTCCTCGTACTTTTGCAAACTGCAACAGTTCACATTCTGAAATATAAATATTTTAATAGATATTTATATTTTGCCTATTGTGTGCGCAAAGATCAGTTTGTGCAGTTGTGGTTTTGTGCTTTTACTGCTCATAAAAATTAAAATTGACAAAATTACAAAAGTATAAAGAGATAAACATTAACTTACTGCTTCGCCGCGAATCTTGGCTAGTTTTTGCAATACACTGAAAGTTTCCTGCCCATGCAAGTCTTGAAATAGCAACCTACATTCTTTAACAAGTCTTTCGTCAAGGGCCATATGTCGATGTTTCACCCGAAAATGTTGAATTAAACCTGCATCTTCTAAATAAAATTTTATTTCTTTCGTATTTTCATAACATTTAGAACAGATTACTTTACCGGAAACATTCGCTTCTTGAAATGGTCTGGTAGTCAACGACAAAACATTCTTTGTTTGATTTATAGTCTCATCCATATTTATTTTGAAAAATATTCATGAGATGATACGTAATTATAATATGATATGTAATTATTATAATATGATATGTAATTTGACGCCATATTGGAAACATTATATGGCAGAGGCTTCTCAAATTTCATTTTTCAACCCGCAACCGCCCGACTCCCTCCCGTCCGCCCGCCACTCACCGCTACTATTATTAGCTCCCTCCCGTCCGCCCGCTACTACGAATTATATCATATAATTCTCAATTGTATTATATAATTCTCAATTATTGTTAGATTACCCAAAAAGCCTCTGCGGAGGAGAGTGGTTTTGCGGGCAAAATAAATTGTGCATGGCACGCGGAACTCCATGAGTGTGTGTGTTTGTGTGTGGAGGGGGGTATCAGCAGTAAACGTCTCTTAAAAAGGCCCACACAGAACAGGACGCAATTTGGTAACGCGATGTATAATAAAATGTTAATCTATCCTAATATCCTTGTAGATTTCTTAACGATAATACATTTTCACTGTTGTGATGCTTCGCGTCCTGTTTGGGCCTAGCTTAAGTCGCTTTCTATTCGGACGAAGATTGAGTATTCATAAATATTGCGTTTTTTATAGACCCTGCAGGAGACGAACTTTCTTTCGTTTGCTTATAAATTCGTCTAAAAAGATGATCCGTTTCTAGTGTAAATCGGGGCAATGTTAATTATACGCCACGTGCCGCTACGATATATCGGGCAGGATATGGTAGATTTGGTACGAAAATCAACTTGTAAGCTTTGGTCGATTATCAATGTCAATATCGATATTATAATATTATTATACAATAAAGCTATTCAATGTAAATAAGCTGTTTAGCGATGCCTAACTATATTTCGGTTCATGTTTGGTGAATTCTAAATACAGTCTGAATACAAAATAATACAAAACGAATGAAGTCAAGTCTGTCTTCCCTGATCACACACATGTAGAGATTTATTTACATTGATGTCTTGTCCAATATAGTTTTAGTACTTAATTAATATATGTGGCAATATTATAGCGTACTTAGTATATTAATAGTGTACTTACCAGTTCAAGTTCTTTTGATTTAGATTGCTGAATACGTTGGTTTCACCGAGTCTCGATCCAGATATAGCATCCGTCAAGCACAGGAAGGGTCTCTTTCTTTTCAATCAGGTATTGTCAAAATCGAAAGAACGTGTACGTGGGAGACAATTAATTTTGCTATTTTTTCTGAAATTATTATTCAACTCCGCCTACGATGTGGACACAAAAGAACTGAGATTCCGGCCTGAAAACGTTACTGAAGGACTTCCGCATATAATAAGGAGTGGCACAGCCATGTAATGTCCTTGTTTGTTTTAAAAAGACATGCAATAAATAAACTGTAGTTTCAGTCCTTTGACTTCATTTTAGAGCATGTTGTTTGCATTAATGACTAGTTTCGCTAAAAACGTTAATTTAATTCAACCTCAATCGACATCGTAAAATAACATGACATAAACAAAGAATCAAACGCTTACCGGAATCAACAGCGTCGAGAACACGACCTTTAGGACACTACCTGTTCCAAATTACCGAAATATGGGGATGAAAGATTATTGTACTCCTGCACTGCATGTAGAGTATAGTGCAATGATTGCTCACCCGCATAAATATGCAAGAACTAGTCTGGTCTGGTCACACCTCTAAAACTAAAATTAGTTTTGCGGGCAAAATAAATTGTGCATGGCACGCGGAACTCCATGAGTGTGTGTTTGTGTGTGGAGGGGGGTATCAGCAGTAAACTTCTCTTAAAAAGGCCCACACAGAACAGGACGCAATTTGGTAACGCGATGTATAATAAAATGTTAATCTATCCTAATATTCTTGTAGATTTCTTAACGATAATACATTTTCAATGCTGTGATGCTTCGCGTCCTGTTTGGGCCTAGCTTAAGTCGCTTTCTATTCGGACGAAGATTGAGTATTCATAAATATTGCGTTTTTTATAGACCCTGCAGGAGACGAACTATCTTTCGTTTGGCTATAAATACGTCTAAAAAGATGATCCGTTTCTAGTGTAAATCGGGGCAATGTTAATTATTAGCCACGTGCCGTTACGATATATCGGGCAGGATATGGTAAATTTGGTACGAAAATCAACTTGAAAGCTTTGGTCGATTATCAATGTCAATATCAATATTATAATTATATTATACAATAAAGCTATTCAACTGTAAAATAATAAGCTGTTTAGCGATGCTTAAATACAGTCTGAATACAAAATAATACAAAACGAATGAAGTCAAGTCTGTCTTCCCTGATCACACACATGTAGAGATTTATTTTCATTGATGTCTTGTCCAATATAGTTTTAGTACTTAATTAATATATGTGGCAATATTATTGTGTACTTAGTGTATTAATAGCGTACTTACCAGTTCAAGTTCTTTTGATTTAGATTGCTAAATACGTTGGTTTTACCGGGTCTCGATCCACATATAGCGTCCGTCAAGCACAGGTAGGGTCTCTTTCTTTTCAATCAGGTATTGTCAAAATCGAAAGAACGTGTACGTGGGAGACAATTAATTTTGTTATTTTTTCTGAAATTATTATTCAACTCCGCCTACGATGTGGACACAAAAGAACTGAGATTCCGGCCTGAAAACGTTACTGAAGGACTTCCGCATATAATAAGGAGTGGCACAGCCATGTAATGTCCTTGTTTGTTTTGAAAAGACATGCAATAAATAAACTGTAGTTTCAGTCCTTTGACTTCACTTTAGAGCATGTTGTTTGCATTAATGACTAGTTTCGCTAAAAACGTTAATTTAATTCAACCTCAATCGAAATCGTAAAATAACATGACATAAACCGGCAAAGAATCAAACGCTTACCGGAATCAACAATATCATGAAGAGAGCGATCACCCACCCACCCAATATTCTTCTTGCGTAGAATATTCCGTGCCTCTTTATCGATTGCTGCTGTTAATTCACTTAACACATCAGAACCATTACTGCCTCTTTATCGACTGCTGCTGTTAATTCGCTTAGAACACTGACTGAACCAGATATGATTTCTTCATCTGGTGTATTTAACAAATAGATATAACATTGAACCGTTGTCTGTTCAGTTATAGATATACGGGATATGACGTAATTTGTGATGAAAACAAAATAAATGAGCACGAGCCACCGGACACGAAAAAATTTCGAAATTGAGCAGGCAGATAAAATTATATAGTTTCCCCAAAACTTGGAAAACTTTGTTCATATCACGCGTACATGATCTATATAGAATTGAAGCAATGCTATTGGCTAGCTTAAGACACGCGCTAAAATGTGATTAGCTGACAAAATAAAACAAGAGATGACTGATCAAATTCGTTAAAATTATCTGTGACGTAATTCCGTGCGTCTGTCCTCTTATATAGATCATGGCTTGAATTGGAAGTGCATGAACTCTTAACGTTAATATATACTGATATTTAATTTGTCTTAGATACAAGCCTGAAAAAAAGTGTTGAGAAAACCACCCAAATCAATTGGTAATTCTACTTTTTCACCTCACAGGATGCACGAATGGAACCCACAATGTGCGACTGTTACTATATAAGCTAATTAATATTAGTTTCCGTTTAGGAGTATCTGCGGACTGATAGTATTATTTTGAACTTGCTCTTCTTATGTGTGTAATCTGTTGTTTATTTTGAGTCTCTTGTCATACAGCCTATTCCAAAATATCACACGTTTGGTAGCATTAACCAAAGATACTATGCAATTTTATTTAACAAAATTATAATAATTATTTGAATTTCGCACAACATGTTTGACGAATGTATCAACTGGAGACGAATCATCCTAATATAAGATCAGGGTAGAATCATTAAAAAACCTTAAAAATATTTGTTATTTCGTACGGAAATAAAGTGTCAAGCCTACACTTGGTCGAGGTACTTGACAATCACCATCATACAATGTATCGACGCCGTATTGATTTGCCGGGCCAAGGTCGGTAGAATGTGCTTTGTTACACATACCATGACCGATATTCAAACTTGTCAAGCAATCACAATTATCATCGTTCAAGCAAGATAGACTTTACTCCATTTTGTTCACGATACATGAAAGAATCCTGGGCTGCTTTGGGCGCTGTTCCTGACAGGACAACAGGGTTCCAGGGCTTGTTGTTCACTACCTTGCCAGCAGGTGTCGTTATGTGATCGTGAAAGGCCCTCCAAACCGCGTGTGCAGTAGGATGTTTTGAATCAAATTTCCACTTGTACGTATTTCCCGCGGAATCCACCCCTAGAATCTCAGTCGTATCTTCCTTGGCCCACAATGGCAACCTTCCAAAGCAATAGTAATCACGTGGGCCACAATTGCCGTAGGCATGACCGATGATGTCGTTCTCATCCGAAGCTGCCGGCCATTGGGTATTTGGCGACCACCACCAAAATGCGAGCCAGTTTCCACCATGCGTACATAGGGTCATAGGACGAGATGATGCAAAATAAAGTACCAGGCCTACGGAAGGACGAGGGGTGTTGCAATAATGATCATACAAGGCATCAACACCATACCAGTAAAAATCCGTTAAAACATTAATAAAAGGCAAGTACAGTATATCTTTCTTATCCACAGTGTTACTTTTAGGCCCGGGTAGGTGGTCTTCGGACACACGGGCAGTGGCGTAGTTAGCCCGACAATTTAGTCATGCTATGCTAATATTTTGGTGTTCATTAACTGTGAAAACAATGAATATCTAAAGAAATGAATAATGATAATAACATAAAATTTGCGTAGCATGACTAAATTGTCGGGCTGGCTACGCCACTGCACACGGGTGAGTATGCGCCCCTCTGGGCTTAATGTTGAGGCTATACATGGTCATCTAATTTTTGCAAGGTAGTTTGGATTTGGAAGTTAATTTTGGCTTCAGTAGACTGATCTTTTAAGTTATCTTAAAAATAATTCACGCTGAGATAATAATAAGATTAATCACCAATGAAACTTAATTTTCACCTAAAAACAGGTTAAAGAAGTCCACACGCAGACAGGCACTCATGAGCTATAACAATTTAAAGTGAATTTACAAATAAATGAAGAATAAATGATGTAGAAATTTATGTTCCAATTGGCCTTTCTATGCCTGCCCGTTTGTAGCAATATTTAATCCGTAGAAATGAATATGTATTCCGATAACTAATGTTGATGTTCACGTTAAAATATCTCTGATCCAAATAATTATTCGAATATTTTCAAAATATCATTTAAACTTTTTCAAAATATCGTTTAAACTTTTTCAAAATATCGTTTAAACGTTTTCAAAATATCGTTTAAACATTCTCAAAATATCGTTTAAACGTTTTCAAAATATCGTTTAAACTTTTTCAAAATATCATTTAAACTTTTTCAAAATATCGTTTAAACTTTTTCAAAATATCATTTAAACATTCTCAAAATATCGTTTAAACGTTTTCAAAATATCGTTTAAACGTTTTCCAAATATCATTTAAAATTTTTCAAAAAAATATCACTTCAAAGTGGAAACATCCTGGAAGCACCACACCAAACTCCCGCCAAAACTTACATGTATGGTGTTCGGACGATTCTTTTTGCAAAGTAATACGAACGGAGAACGAAAAATATGAATGAAGAAGTAAAACAAAAGGTTGCCAAACTGTTGGATGAAGCTTCCAAGCTTTTAGTAAGTGCCGATTCACAACCAAGTAATATCAACAACCCTACTCCAAGAAGCAATGCCGCCTCCAGCGGATCCAGCACGGCCTCAAGTTCTTTATCATTTCCATTGGGGGAAACGCTTCAGAGAGCACGCGGTATGTTACAAGCAAGTTCTTCGTCTGGACTTTTCAGACGGTTGAATAGAACTGAAAGATTAAGAGCATCGTCTCCTTATCAGCAAAACCGACAGTCGAAAACTAAGCCATCTAAGCAAAAGTGAAGAAAGCGATGGAGTTTTCATTGCTTAGATGTTGGGCGGATGATGATGAGGATGAACCGCATCATCTAAAGTGGGACTCAGTCCTGGCAAGTGGGATGCTGACCATTGATGAAGACGACAACGAAAAAAGCATCAGAAAGGCCATAAAAGATTCTCTTGCATCAAAAATTCCTGCCTTGGGTGATAATGATTTTGAGTTTGTCAAAATTAGACACAAGGCAATCACAAAGCTTGAGCTGGGACCAGGAACAGAATTTAATTACGCTGTAGTAAAAAAAATGGCTGGTCAAGGACAGATTTATGTCAAGGTGAAGCAAGGGTATGACTTCCTGTATGACTTAAATAAGGATGATGATGATGATGATGAGTTATTGAAGTCGTATGTGGAACCTGAAATTGAAATTATTAATGTTGATGCAACAAAGACAACAGAAAGTGCAGTTACCGCTCATGCTGGTACACAACAGCCTACAGAAAAAGATCCTGAGACTATAAAAACAATAACAGCCTCAACCAGGAGAGACCTCACCCTGTGCCAATCTTGTTGATAACCTCATTGATGAAATAACAAGTCAAAGTCTGCATGACCCAGTTGAAATCTTACGTTTCTTACAAAAGAACTTAGTGAAAGGAAGAGTGTTAGATGTTGAAGATACATCAGAAATCCCAGAAGGTGAAACTAACTATATTTGTGTTGATAGACATAATATAATGGGATCCACATTTTCAGAGCTGGAGGCAATACAAGATTTTCATGTCACATTTGAAGTTGACTTTATTGGTGAAATGGCTAAAGACGTAGGAGGTCCTAGAAAAGAGTGGATTCGTTTAATGAATGCAGCCATGAAGGACAAGTACTTTGACAAAGGTCTCCGAGAGTATCTAGCTGATGATTACTATTATGTGGGCATCATGATTGGTATTGCTTTGCTCCAAAATGGCCAGCTGCCAACCTTTATGCCCCATGATGTCATTGAGAGTCTGGTCTCACCCAATTTAAATCCTTGCATTGCTAAATTAAGAGAGGGTCTAAATGTTTTTGGCCTTGCAAGGATAATGGAGAAGTTCCCCATCCTGCTCCATTTACTCAGACACAACAACCAGACATTATCAGCAAAGATGGTTCTTAAATTGTTGGCACCCACTTTCTCTGAAGAAGGATCATCCATGTATTTTAAGGAAAAGGCATTATATGCTTTGTTCGTGAAGTATGTAAGGCAGGTTGCTAGTGGTAGGAGAAACCAATTACTTTAAGTTCTCTCTTAATTTTTGCAACCTGTGCTTCTGAGGAACCACCACTTGGATTTGTTGTTCATCCATCAATTACATTCACATGTAAGGATGAAGAGCCAATGAAGGTATGTACAGCATCTTCCAACAATATACAAATGGACAGGAATGTTATGAAGTACTCTTTGAATGCTTTAATTAATTGATTGGCAATGAACATGACAGTGCAAAATTATTGCATTAATTGTTACATCAGGAGTAAAGTTGTGAAGAGAAAAATAACAACTTGCTCTGTGATTCATGGTTTGTTAAATAATAACTTGT